ATCCATTGCTAATACGAGATTTGAAAAGGGAGGAAAAAAAAGTTCGGCAAAAGGTGGGATCGAACCCAGGTTGATCGCGTCAAAAAGCCAATGACACACGCTTATCCATCTGTGCCACTGGAACTGATGATTTACAGCCACTTTTAACTAAATGTAAATAGACACCCCGTAGTTTTTATTCCATAGTAAGGGCAATTCATACAATACATTTAAACTGAGCTACTTTAATACCATCTCCGAACTTTCTACCACGACTCTGCTGTTCTTCGGCTGGTTCTTCCTGTATACGTTGATTGACAGACAGCTATTTTAAACTGTTTGATCACATTCTAGGGTTACTATTATGCATAAAAAAACCCTTATACAACATTGATAGGAATACTGAGATCAAATACAAAAAAATACAACCATCAACGTATTTCAAAATTGTTACTTTTTTGTAACATATATCATCACATTTTTATATTAGTGCTACCAGTATTACAACAAAACACACCTTAGTATCGATATATCGATACTTCGGATCGATACGCCCATCCCTAATCATGACTCAAAAAGCGAATCTCAATTTCGCATGAGAGGACTAAAATAGACATCATAACCACATAATGCTGAAGAGCCCAGGGAACGAGATGAAACGATCATGGCAAGTGCTTCCCTCAGTACTGAGATGAATCCATTACCACACTATAATGAACATTACTGAAAAATTAATATGATGAAGATTATGTCCGATTTTCTGGGTAGAAACATTTGAATATCATATTATGTCTCTTTCCATGCAGTGATAGAGACATGAAGTGACAGAGGCAGGAAACAGAGGATTCTGGGACGCGCATGTGCCTGATTCAGAATTAAATGAAATTTTGGCTCGCTTTCAGTTCCAGAGTGTGAATTTGAATTAAATTAGCCACGACCCACGGGATGTTGAAGAGGAATTTGAACTGGAATGACAGGAAAAGGAATTTAGTACTAAGATATTTCAACAAACTTGGCAAAAATAATTCATATTATAATTAATAATAAGAATTAATATTATAAAATGTAGTAACAATAAAGACACTTATAATATAAACATTTATATTTCAAATCAACGCTTTTCTTCTGAACTTTCTAGTAAAAAATGTAATGAATGTTTTCAACATAATAAAAAATGTAGCAAATCTGCATATTAGAATGGTTTCTGATCAGAACAAAATAACATGATTTCTGATCATGTGACACTGAAGACTGGAATAATGATGCTGAAAATTCAGCTTTACATCACAGGAATAAATTAAATTTGACAATATATGACAACAGAAAAGCTATTTTAAATTATAATAATATTTCACAATATTACTGTATTTTTGATCAAATAGTAGCCTGGGTGAGAACTTTTTCCAAAATATTTTAAAAATCGTACCGACCCCAAACATTTGAACGGTATTTTATGTAAAATATAAACAAATAATTACTATTCACAATTAAAATCAGTTTATTAAAAAAAAAAAAAACTAAAATTAAAAACTCTGGAAATAACCCTTACGTTGTGTATGTGATAATGTTCATAGGCAATTCTTACAATGTTCCATTGTTCCATTTAAATTCTACTTCTTTAAATTTAAATTCAAATTACCATTCTGTATCCTGTTTGCCATTAATTCAAATTCAAAAGTTGAACTGGAATTTAAAAGTCATACTCAGTCAAATTATGAATGACACTGCTGTTTGAGGTTTGACCGAGGCGAGGTGAGCCGTGGGCAAGGAAATAGTACTGCAGAGAATGAACCACCCCTCCCTTCCCAGTCCGCAGAGCCTCCATAACAGGAGAAGGAGTTCCTGAAGATGAAGAGAACAAGACACACGACGACTCAAAGTACAAACAGATCACAAGGAACTACTTTTGAAGTGCTTTTCATGGCTTTTATTGACTAGTCAGGACAGCTCACCTAGCCTACTACCTGTATGAAAGACAGCCAAAAAAACACACCGAGTAATATAATAAAATTACATCACATACCAGCATCTGAGGACATCATGAGACTCTTATAGAAGAACCAGTGCCATGGTGTGAGAGGAACCACTGCTACAGATGGTGAAGATGTCAACGCTCACAGTAACGGAGAGTTGGGAGAAGGTGGACCTGATGTACATCTCCATCGAGAGCACTATCGCTCTGGCGTCGGTGCTTGGGAACGTGCTGGTGGTCCTGGTGGTTTGCATGAACCAGGCTCTCAGAAACCCGACTTTCTGTTTTATTGTTTCTCTGGCACTGGCCGATATCGCGGTCGGCGTTCTTGTCATTCCACTGGCGGTGGTCCTCAGTTTGGGTCTCAACACGCCGTTTTACAACTGCCTCTTCATTTCCTGCCTCCTCCTCATCATCACCCAAAGCTCCATATTGTCCCTGCTGGCCATTGCCATCGACCGCTTCCTACGTGTCAAAATCCCCACCAGGTGAGTCTGAAACACTGAATAAATATGAAATATTTTCTGTTTAGTTGCATGTCGTGTGACCATTACCTGACATCAGAGATCAGTGAACATGCAAATGTGTTGTTAAATTATTGAAATATTAAAATTTAAATGTCAGGGTTTACGTTTGTGGGTCTTTCTTAGGGTGATGCACCATAATTAACACAAATGTATTTACCATGTTTTGTAACTAAAGTGAAAAAAAATTGGTGTAAAAACAAGTTTCACTGAGAAATTTCTAGCAAATTTCACAATCACACACACAAAAAAAACCCCCAGCAAGTAACACACTGAATTAAACGTGAATTTTGAGTACAAAGGTTGCAATAGTATTTTCTTGTAAAGCATACTTCAATCATCGTTGCTTTATTTGAGAAAAATCTTTTTTTTTTTTTTTACAAACGTGTCTATTAGTGCAAAATGATTAGTACTGCTGAAGTGAAACAGAAAAAATTTTTTTTGCAAATGACAAATTTTATGTTAGTTTACTGACTTTAGATTTCTAGGACATCACGACTGAGTCCACCAAAAAACAACTCTTTTGGACGCATAAAAAAAATGCTGAAGCATTTTGCAAACTTAGTTGCAATGAAATAACCTTTAAAATGACTTTTGCATGACACAAAGCAGTAATTTAATGCATAGCATTGAGTAGCTTATTGCTTTCATGCAATAGGATTGTGATTAAAAAACAGTAATGTATAATAAATGGTTTCATTTAATAATAATAATTGTTCACCAAGCTATTTAGCTTTGAGAATGGCTCATCAAAACAGAAGTCATAACTATTGGTTTTTATACATTCGTATTTGTCCGATAGAGATAACACTTTAATGCATCAGCTTTGTTTTATCATATTTCTTGGCCAGACAGCAATATATCTGTTGCTTTCTTTAATGCAAATCAATAGGCTGGTGTAATGCAAGGCTTTTAACTAAATTAAACCCCTGCTGTCTGTCAAAGGGAATGATGTTCACTGGTTTGATAGTATTTTGGCAGCGTCCCTAACCACTCATTTGCTTGATGTTTGAAGTCATGTGACTTAAACTGCTTATGTAACACATTTGTGGCAAATGGTGAATTGAATATATTCAAATATTTTAAAATCCATAATTTATATCTTATAAATAAAGAGATTTAGAAAATGTACTACCTAAGGAAAGTGTGACTCATTGCCATTTTTACTACAAACATAAATAAAATAAAATAAAATAAAATAAAATAGTATTTCATATTAATTTGGACTTACATTTTTGCCTGGAGAATGATAAAACATTAGAAAAATATCCCACAGTCTAGCCATATCTGGAAAAAAGAATATCATAGAGATCAGTGAGCAACTACCTGAACACTCTTAACCACTTAGCAACGCAGTAAAACCACTCAAAACCCTTTAGCAACCGCATAGCAACCCCCGACAATAACATGTCATTCAAAAAAGTTACAAATCTAGTTGCTTAGTACTATAGTACTTGTTTGAAAACTTGTTAAAGGGATAGTTCACCCAAACTGAAAATTCTGTCATCATTTACATTTCTTCTGTTGAACACAAAAGAAGATATTTTGAAGAATGTTGGTAACCGGTAGCCATTGAGTTCCATAGGATTTTTCTTTTCATACTATGGAAGTCAATGGCAACCGTCAACTGTTTGGGTAAGCTAAGACCATTCGAAATGTGCTAATCCATGATATTTCTAACATTAGTGGTGTGCATTATATAGAATAACACTTGCATTATCGCTTGCGGTTATCATTGGTTTTAAAAAGTAATGTATGTCGTTGTCTTTGTATTGTTTTAACAGGTATAACATCATTGTTACGCAGAGGCGGGGATGGGTAGCTGTGGGTTTGTGCTGGCTCATCTCGTTTCTGACTGGTTTAGTGCCAATGGCCGGCTGGCACCGCACCCCACCCATAAATGTCAGCACGATGGCCATCGAATGCCAGTTCACCAACGTCATATGCATGGATTATATGGTCTACTTCAACTTCTTTGTTTGGGTGGTGGTGCCCCTGACCATCATGATCGGACTGTATGCCGAGATCTTCCGTGTGATCCGCCGCCAGCTCAACCGCCGAGCTGAGGCCACCAGTGACTCCAGCAAGTACTACCGTAAAGAGCTGAAACTTGCGAAATCATTAGCGCTAGTTCTGTTTCTGTTTGCGCTCTGCTGGCTGCCACTGCATATTATGAACAGTATTGTGTTTTTTTGCCCCACATGCAACGTGCCCAAGAGTGCTTTTTACGTTGGTATCTTCATGTCACACGTCAACTCTGCACTCAACCCAGTGGTGTATGCCTTCCGCATCCAGCGCTTCCGTGATACGCTGATTCAAATCATCCAGCGATTCGTGCTCTGTAAAACCCCATCAGCCAACCTGAGCCAGCACGGTCTTGGACCCATCACAGAGAAAACCCAAGTTCAGAAGTAACTAAGACTGAAGACTTTAGATATACAAACAATGCAATGCAACACGCAATATGGCGGAATAAGTCCTGCCTTCTAAATAAAAGAGCCAATCAGTAGTTCGTAAAGTCATTGCATTACTGCAGCTGCCGATAGGAGCTCTGGTTGTAATAGAAACAGTCAATGTTTTGAGAGGTGCACATAGGACTGCATATGCGCTTTGGCTGGTCCACCCGAAATATAAGCTTCTTAACGCTATTTGAGCATAAGAAACTACTTTTATGGGACCATTCATGTCAGATTTTGTTGATTTCCCCATTTAAGTTCCCTATTCAGACTTTTTTTGGGTGCCCGAAATAGCTGCCTGATGGCATTGAAAATATGGAACAGACTTTCACACACTGTCTGGGTTGTAGCAACTGACTGGCGAAAGGAACTATGCAAATCAGGAAACAACACAAATATACCCAAAAAATGTGCAGAACATTCATGCAATGCATTTTTCAATTTTTCCATTCTGATTCTGCGCTCTACATAGTGGAGGATCCAGCGAACTACTGCAATCTGACATTACTGCAGTTCATGCACCTGAATCAGCTCTTTAAAATGCAGAAAGCGCACTTGTGTACACTGTGTTTGGAAATATGCCCAGTTATAATGCTCTTCTCCATCATTTGATGAATTACTGCTGCCACGATGTCTCGAAAATGTACACAAACATCGCTTTTCCAGCGATACTGCGTCAAGCAAATAGCAAGTTTTGTGAACATTCAATAATAAGCCTTATTTGCATAGCAAGGAGGCGTGTTTGCACTGAACAGAATTACTTGAATTAAATATTCAAAGCGCAATGCTATACCGCACCTAGTTGTTTTTTTTTTTTACTGAAATATCGAATGTAAAAGCAGTGCAACTGTATAGTGAATTTAGCACTGTGAGTTTAACTATGGACAGATAGTTTGCTAAAAACTCTGCAGCTTCAAAGATCTCTCTTTTGAATAATACAAATATTTTGTGGCCTGATGTGGCTAAGAATGAGCACTGGATGATTTGTTACACTTGTCATGCACACCAAACAACTAGTGAATAGAGTAAAATGGGACAATTTAAAAGAAATTAACAGAACCAGTTTCCCACCAATGAGCTGGACAATCCTAATGCTTCAGGTTGCACATGTGAGTGTAATTTCTTCAGTTAAAAATCAATATCATGCATTGAAGAATTTGCATTTATTAAAGGTGCTGTATGTAATTTTTTAACTGTACCAAAGCATAAAACACTACAATATATTCACCGATATTTAGGAAACATGCTGTTAACATACTTGTTTCTCTGAAAAACAATACTACAGCCAGTTATTCTACTTTGAAAACGTGCATTCCATGTCGGAATGGCTGTTTTTGTTTTGGTCTGTGTGACTCCGCCCACAGACCATTTAACCAATAGTATTTTGACACCCTAGGTTGCCAGAGAGCAGACAAAACAGCGTGTTGCAGCCATGGAAGCCAATAAACAAACTGGGTCAGAGATTGCAGATTCTAACTGACCTAAAAAGCCTCCACATCCATCTAAAGATCTCTATGGCCAGAGGATTATTAAAATACGGATATATCGACTCATCAGCTTACAGTGTAAGGCTTGTCGCCTTCCATTGTTAATTGTGCTCAATTACAAATACCTTTTTAAAACAGTGGACAGGCGAGTCTTCAGGAAACCTGTTTGAAAACAATCATGATTGCAGAAATTACACACAAACCAGTAAGCATCTACCTAGCAACCACCTCACATCGTGCAAAAAAAAACAACCACGCAAAACACCTTAGCAACTGCATAGCAACACCCTGGCAACCCACAGCTTTAAAGTCTGGATGTTTCACCATTTTCTCATTATTGTTAAAGATGATTCTTTAGATTTCATGACTGAGAATAATCCTTTTTTCAATATTTTGAATTACCTTTAAAAAGCTTAATATTCCTAAATATAAGCTTAATTTTTTTTGTTCAACGTACACATTTATTTTTACCTGTACAGTACATGCGTTAAACAGAGTTTGTGTATTACAATAAAAATGCCAATAGATTTAGCTAACAAACTATGATAACAGCAAATTCACATAACAGCCTAACTGAAATGTAAAGTTAGATACTGTATATTTATAATAGTAAAGATACAGTAAGAATTTGCATTTAATATGGCCTGCATGGCTGTGCCATTTTTCCAATAAACTGTATGCAAACTGGTAAAGCATCAAGATAAATATGAAAATGAATTTAGGATAATGTGATTCAAAATACATCATGATCACACACATTTACTGAGATCTACACATGTTGGTATGGGTTAGGGTTAGAGATATATAATCCCTCTAGTGTACTAGAAGGGTCAAAGGTTTTAGTTCTCAGGCTCAGCATGTCTTGTTTGTCATGCAGGTGACAAACCAACTGATTGACCGCAGTGTGACTGCTAATTCCAGAGATAAGCGAAACAAGAGGAAGCCCTGGTCAAATGTGAGATATGTTGCAGGCACACTGACCGCAAATTATGATGAAGAAGTGACTGACAGACAATAACTGTGAACTTTCACCATGCCAGTAAGTAAACGGGTGGAAAAACCTATAAAAATAAACCACAATGTTACTGGCAAGAACACAACAGGGCCAGTGTATCGTTATGAAATCTTGAAGCGGTAATTATGTTAGCTTGACAAATATATAAAATGACTATACATACAAATTTACTATAAACAGCCTAGCAACACCTTAGAAACCATCTAGCTACTTCTTACCAACCATGCAGCTCACATTAGCAAATGTTTAAAAGCAGCCTAGTAGCAACAACCCAAAACACCTAAGCAACAACCTAGCAACCACTCTTAACACCTTAACAACCACGCAGCAACTGCTTTCCACCAACACAGGTATGTAAATTTCAACTTATATTAACTTTTCAACTTTCTGACAAGGCTTTTCAAGGTAAAATTCAATATTTTTTTCTTTTCAAATTTTAAATAATATTGAATTATGACACTGAATTATAACAGAAGGCCTTATATTATGTTCCACAGCCTATGAAATTATAAAATATGTGAAGCTGGTGAGTGAAATAAGATGAAATCGAATAACAATATAAATTCATGGCATACATTAAATCTCAAGGTACTACTAACACAGTTAAAAATGTAATAATTTGTCCAGTTATTTCAATCGAAGAGTAAGAGCGGGATTATCTGTTTTGAGGCGATCGGTGAAGTTTGAAGTGTCGAATCTGCGGCGCGGGACACACAGATGATGACGTCACGCTCTGAACAACACGGCTCTAAATTTTGCATCCGGTTGAAAATAATATTATTAGCCTTAAAATAAAGCGTCACCTATCCATAATCTCGATCTGCCAGCGGCCTCACCGACCTCAGGATCACACTACGGATGTGTCTTATTCGGGGTTCGTGTCTTCAAAGCATTATAATACTCGCAGACGGATGTCAACAAAGTCGCTGGTTAGCTAGCGAATGCTAACAAACAGCCTGTTCGTATTTTTTCTGTTGTATTTTAGATTTATATGTGTGTTTACCTGTATAAAATTACATCACGTTGACATTTGTTTATATATTTGTAAAATACTAACGATAACACATTACTATTCTTGACTTTAGAATGTGTAAATGCTAATTAGTGCGTATGTTGTCTAATAATACTGAACAGCGATAGTTATTTAGTTTCACTCAAATTGATTTCGCCTTATCTGGGTTGGTATACTTAGCTTATCTACGTTTTCGTGGTTAATAACAAATAATGCACATGTACCACGGCATTCCTAGAAGTACCATGGTACTTTGAGATATGCCATGGTATTTTCATGGTACTCCTGCTGGTGGACTGACGAACAAACTGAACCCTGCCCTCTTACTATTTTGTCATTGCCAGGTTGAGACTCAAATCTTGGGGCTCCTGTTAACCTTCCCATCAAGCCGGTTTGGGGACGTGTGTTTGTCCCCCTCATCTCCTGCGAGATGGCCAGTCATTTCCGCAGCTACGTTTGGGATCCGATCCTCATCATCTCCCAGATTATTCTCATGCAGTGCATCTACTACAGCTTCTTGGGTCTGTGGTTGGCTGGTGTTGATGGATTGGTCCATACCAGCAGATCACTCGACCAGATATTCAGTTACGAGGTAAGTAACTGTCCAAATAGGGTTCAGAATAAAGATAATTAAAATCGGTCTTGTCAACCTAGACTTACAAATAACTAGTTTACTTTCTGTCAAGGTTCTTGGCTTTTCAACAACACAGGGTTGCTTGTCTATGATGGCATTCATTCTGAATTCTCTCACGTGGTATGTTTATATTAATGGCATCTTATTCCAATAATTTATCTGCCATCTGAAGTCATTGTTGGCTCTGTGTTTCTTTCTCAGCGCTCTTGGCCTGTGGTTTTTCATCCGACGGGGAAAGCAGTGTCTGGACTTCACTGTGACAGTACATTTCTTTCACATGATCGGCTGCTGGATCTATAACGCCCATCTCCCAGCCGCCCTGTCATGGTGGTTGGTCAACGTGGCCTGCATGGCCCTCATGGCGGTCATAGGCGAGTACTTGTGCATGCGGACAGAGCTCAGAGCCATCCCTGTCAACACGGCACCCAAATCCAACCTATGAGGACTGTTTAGAGACAGATGTGCAACAGCTGGTGTGTACGAGGTCACGCATCGGCAGGACTGGCCTGTTGACTAATGCTGCGGTGGTTTTCTGGGAGGATGAGCAGAAGTGACTTGGTTGTTCTGGATGACGTTGAGATGTGCCACATGGGTTTCATGCTGCACCGCATGATGATCCTGCAACTTCCCTCAATCAGCATTATGGCGGCATTCGCATCATTTCAAAAAGATTATTGTAATTATTCTTATTTAGGACCAATTCTTCATCATTCATGGATGGCTACTGAAAATATGACAGTGATGGTCTGTTTTAAAAGTACAGAAAGCATAATGTCTTATGTGTAAATCTTTATCTAAATAAAATGCAATGTAATTCTGAATACTTGGATAATGGTTCCTATTGCTTTGGAAAGAATTGTGGATTTCATGTTTTATCAAGTCATTCTTTTAC